GCTTAGGGTGCTTTGAATCTATGTAGTGCACAATGAAATCAGAAGATTATCAATGCATTATGGAGTGAAACATAGTGCCTAGTGCCAACACAATAATAACCCAAAACATACATCTAACAGCAAGAATGCATGAGAAGAAAATATTGAAGCATTCTGAAGTGGCGTACCATTCCTAATCTATCTTAACGTTTATGGAAAGATGCCAAACTACCAGTCGAGAAGTGACCAAGTCTCATTAAGAGCTGCCAAAAGAGCATGAATGATGGCCTCTTTCTTTAAACTAATTCCAATTTTTCAATTAGAGTATATTTACTGTTAAAGTGACGGGTGTCTGTGATGGATTTCACAATTCAGTACTCTTCACTAAGAATCAAGACCGTTGCATTGCATTTTCTTGTCCACTAGGTTGCAGTGTTGACCACAATTTAGATTAGATTAGATTCAACTTTAGTCATGTACAAGTACAAGGCAATGAAATACAGTTTAGCATCTAACCAGAAGTGCAATAGGGTTAGGGTTACAGTATGTACAGTCAGTACTGATTTACTGATTGATATGTACAGTTGATATTTACAGTAATTTATATCAGGTAATATACAATATACAACAGTCTTTATGGATTTAAATTACAAGTAATGGATTAAGTACATTAATCTTATAAAACACTAGTGCAATGGGATGAAATGGAATGTAACAGTGCAGAATAAGAAGATAAGTTACATGAGTGAACAGTTCAATCAGTGTAAATAGTGCAAAAGATAAATATACAGTATCTGCATATGTACAGTGTGCAAATGAATATAGAGCAGTATTCTGTGAATATGTGCAAATGAACAGATCACTTCAGTGTTACAGGTAACAGAAGTGTATTGCATTAGCTCCGGGAGGAGAGATGAGAATGGGTGAGGTGTGTGTTGTAGTGGTATAGAAGGGGGGTCAACAGGGGGACACAGTTCAGTAAGGAGACAGTTGTGGGGAAGAAGCTGTTCCTGATTCTACTGGTCCTGAAGTGCCTCCCAGAGGGTAGGAGGCTAAACAGTTTGTGAGCAGGGTGAGAGGGGTCCTTGAGAATGCTGCGAGTATGTTGGAGACACCGTTCCCTGTGGACACCCTCAATGGCAGGAAGTGTGCTACTCTAACATCATGTCTGTGCAAATTCTCAGTCATCCAGGTTGTAGTATGCTGAAAAACATAGAAGAAGGCATCTGGGCATAGTTTTAGGTAGAAGATGTTTCACCTCTCATCCAAGATGCTTCATCAGTTCTGTCTGATGTGAGCATGAGATATTTATCCCACTGGGTGGTGTTTCAGTCCTTCAACAGCCAACAATGTCCTCTAACGACTGAGTCCTGGGGTTCCAGTCCTTCAACGGCCAACAATGTCCTCTAATGAACTGAGTCATTAGGGTCAGGTTATCGGTGAGAGTCGTTACCTGACCCTAATGAAGATATGTGTGTGGTGTTTGTTTCTTATGGTGTTATGTTTGTTCTCCATTGCTGCTGAAACACTGAAATTTCCCCACTGAGGGATCAATAAAGTACCTACCTACCTACCTACCTTTGAACCCTCACATGTGGACCGATGCCTATTGTCCTGGTGTGAATTAGGGTGGAAATGTTTGGGTAGACATTTCAAAACAGGGTTTTAGATGGATGACAAATTGTGTCTGAGTCCACCACTTTATTTAGAGAGGGGTGTTCTAGCTGGACAAAAATTGCTTCTTTGACTCCTCTCTCAAACCAGCGGCATTCTCTGGAGAGCATCTGGACTTCACTGTCCTCAGAAGAATGCCCTTTGTCCTTTAGGTGGAGGTGGGCTGCTGACCTGGTCCACTGGGGTTGGCCCTCTTATGTTCGGCCATGCGCTTGTTTCCCCATTGTACAGGTCATTACACTCCTGACTACATTTAATTGCAGACACCACATCACTCTGTTTGTGTCTGGGTGTTTTGTCCTTTGGGTGGACCAGTACTGCTCTACACCACTACTCTAACAGCAGAACTTTCTCACCATGAAGGGCTGGTAACAGAGATCCTGAGATCCTACCTTACTTGTCTCTGAATAAAGGTATAATAAGAAGTGTATTCCATCAAAGAGATGCTTTTGGATTCCAGCATTGAAATGCTAAATGTTGGAAAATATAAATCTAGATTATTATCAGTTGTGTGGGTAATTTAAAACAATGATATCCAGCAAATGTAGACCAAAAACATAAATGTTACATTACAATGGCAATATCATCACACCTGTCATGAGTCACTGTAGTACAAAATAAATAATTACAGTGTATAAGTAAGTACTGATCTACCAGTTTTAACAGGGAAACAGACAGGTGATAGATAGCTAGACAAACTGAAATCCAATAAAACACCATAAATGACATCCTTAGAAACTACAGTAATATGTATAAAAATATGTATTATTGTTGTGTATGAGTAGTTTTTGAAATTGTGTTTACAAATATCTAGCCAGTTATATTATTTAGCACATGTTGTCATCCCAGTTTTACCACACTCCTGATGTAACGAGAAATGTGTCCACAAGATGGAGACCTATTGATAAGTTGGGATATAATGAAAAGAGTGATTTGGGTTAACATGACCGCTGTTATTTACAGGCCAGATGTGTAACACAGAGACTGAATCATATATTAAAAGAACAAATTAAAATAAAGGTTAATAAGGCATACATACATTTATTACCACATATGTGTTCCTTTTTACCCTTTTTTATGAGCTGCGTATTGAAATTTATTTTTCTATTCAGAAGTCTCTTTTGACTGGGTGAATTTTACAGCTCAAAACCCTTACCAAGCAGCAGGTCCTCTTTAAAGTCAGTCTTGGAAAATCATTAGAAGATTTTGTCTGCTCTGTGACTTAACAAATTACCCACAGTCCTGTGAAGGCTTTTCTCACTGAGTATCACCTTTCATGTAGAGGCTGTCACTGAACCATGCAAACCTTACATACATCCTGTGAGATATAAACACACCAAAGTCCTTAATCAGTTTCTTTATAAACATCGGCGTGCCATGAGCAAAAGGACGCACTCTTACTTTACCCATGAACACACGTGGGCTGCTGTGATGTGGCAACTCCTGTACGCCTAGCAGATTTTCTGATGCAGCTATTATGGTGGCACAAAGGCTTATAGCTGTCTTAGCCACACTACACACACCCAATAAAATATAAGCTTGGTGAGGCTGCTCTGCCTTTCAGTTTCAGTTGAACTTGACACCAACTCTGATCCTCCTTGGCCTGTTATCACATGCTGTCCTTCCTCATTGTTTTTCTTTCAGTTTTGAAAGTTTATGGGATGTTTCTGGGCTGTGCTTTTTCACAGGATTTTAAGTAAGCACTGAAGGTGCCTTGGTTTCTAGCTCATGAGTGGCTGTGAAGTGTTTGTGACAGTTGCTAAGCCAACACCCTCTGTAATGGCTCAGCAGACCCAGAACCTACACGTGTACACACATGCTTTCACACAATCATAAGAAGGGAACTTCTGACTAGTTGTATGGATGCTGACAGAGGTGTTTAGGTAATGGAGATCTACTAACACTGGAGAGGTGTCATCCCTGGCAGCCTGATAAGAGGCAGACTGTCTTGGACTAATTGTCTGTCTGCACACGTGTGGGGGTGAAATTAGCTGTTAGGAAGAAAGGTGTCTGTGGCAAATGTCAGTGTTAGTGGATATGGTGGAGACTTGGTGAAAAATAAGTTCATAATCCTGATTTAAGCTTGAGAGCTTTTAGTATATGGAATAAGGACGTTTCTATAATACAGACACTGAAGGTGTTCAAATGTGATATGGCTGTAATTTGTGACAGTCATTTGTATTCATGTGTTCAGTATTACTGATTTGTAATTTAAGAACAGACTTTCAGCTGAGAAATGTATATCTCCATGTAGTGCTTGCTCTTTAATATTGAGTAGTTGCACAAAAAGTTGATATTTAAATATTAGGTATTTACATTATAATGGAATGTTTTTCTATTAAACTCCATTGAAGCTGCACAGGTAAATTTCATTCTGGCAACAGCCAGTCAACAATGAGAGAAATTATAAAATTGAATACCAAACAGATTTAAAGCTATCTTTACAGTAGCAGTATGCTATTTAAACAAAAGCTACAGCAAATAACCTATTTTACTTTGTGAATTCAGATAACTACTCATGAAAAGAGCACCATAATAAGTGTACCATGATGATATTTTTGAATATTTTCATTGGTCAGTGCTATGATCTGGAGTGCACTAAATAAGTAAGTAAAGCTCAATATGTCTAAAGGATTAACAGCTGAAATTCTTTTCTAGTTGTTTGATGGAATTGAAGGGGTTCCTGTTCACATCTACTACAAACTTCAAATTGGACTGATAAGTTCTATAATTTCTAGTTCAGTCCACTCCAGTACAAAAACCTTTGTTGAAAAACAGCTAAAATATTACTGGTTATGCAGCATACACATTTCCAAAATAATTAACAGCCAAAATGAACTTGAATTTCCAACTGTTATTGAGAGAGTTGTTTTTAAATTTGTACAGCCAGATAACTATTTAATAAAAGGTAAACAAGATGCACTCTACATATCCTGTTCTCCTTCAGGGTGTCATTTGTATCTTTATCAATATCAACAACCTTTTGTAGTAAGTGTAAATGAATGAGTTCACCTAAAATAAAAAATAATGTGTACTTTAAGCATCTTAGCATT